AGGAAGAAAGCTACAAGACAGCACCAAACAAAAAAGAGGCGGAGAAAGCAAGGCAAGAACCACCAAAAGCCAGCATCAGAAAACAACAACACACATTTAGAAACCTGGGGGGAGCGGCGGCGACACACTGCCTATTTTTAGAATAATTAATTACCCAGGGCAAATGGAAGCAAATTTCAAACAATAGGACAGTAAATATCTCAGGTATTGGCAAGCAGCCATTGTGCTGGAGACGAGAAAATTGTCACAAAACAGAGTTCGCTCTTTAAGAAATAAAAGCCGGAAATGAGAGCTTTTGCCGATCTAGTCGCGCAAGGAGGCAACAGCGGCACAGTTGCAGAAGAAAATGGAATGAAGCTGGAACTGGGGTCTCTCCACCTTCCCCTCCCCAGACAGATTATGAAATAATTACACAACATGCATTACCCATGTTACAACCAGTATAAACATCAGGTCTGGCTGCAGCCTAAGAAATTCAGTTATTTCGTGAAGGTGCAGAGAGTTCCGTCCCAGGGATCCCTTGCAGAACTACAGCTTCCAGAATTCCTTGCAAGGAAGCCATAATGAAACAGATGGAGGTTTGTAATGTAGACATGCCCAAGCAGATGCCTTAGACGGAATCAGACCCAATGACCCCATTTAGCACTCTGTCCTCAGAACAGGGGCAGCAAGGCATTACCGGGCAATCGAAATGCAGGTCACCAGTCCCATGTATCGTGGCCTGCTGGAATGGCATCAGATTTGGGGGAGCTTTGGGCAAGACACCCACCTACTCTGGGTTCGGAAGCTCCTGGAGATTTGTTGGTGGAGCCTGGGAAGGGAAGGGCTTGGGCTGGGGAGGGAGCTGAGCAAGATAGAATGCCACAGAAGCCTCCAAAGCAGCCATTGTCTCCAGAGGAACTGATCTCTGTAGTCTCGTGCCAACTGCAGTTTGGCAGCCCAAATGCCATCCCCTTATCCACAAGCATCCTGTAGGACAGAAGAGAGTACAACTCCTCGGAAAGATATATGACTCATCTTCTATATTACCAGGGCTTTTTTTATAGAAAAAGCCCAGCAGGAACTCATTAGCATAATAGGCCACACCCAATAGCAGAAACTCATTAGCATATTAAGCCACACCCCTATGTTACCAGAAGTGTGGTCATCCAGCCACACCCGCCTTTTGCTTCTTATTCTGTTTACTTTGTTGTCAAAACCCAGGGCTTTTTTTGTAGCAGGAACTCCTTTGCGTGTTAGGCCACACACCCCTAATGTAGCCAATCCTAATGAGTTTCTGCTGTTGGGTGTGGCCTGTTATGCTAATGAGTTCCTGCTGGGCGTGGCCAACTCAGGAGCCAGCCGGAACTCCGTTCCTGTGCGTTCCTGCCCAAAAATAGCCCTGTATATTACTCCCCAGGCTAGTTTTGCCAACATCTAGGAAGGGTCTGAAGATCTCTTAGGATTACAAATGGATCACAAGACCACAGTAGGGTTGCCAGGTCCGAGTTGGAAAATACCTGGAGACTTTGGGGGTGGATCCAGGAGAGGGCGGGGTTTGGGGAGGGGAGGGGGCTCAACGTGGTCCAATGCCACAGAGTCCACCCTCCAAAGCAGCCATTTTCTCCAGCGGAGCTGATCTCTGTCAGCTGGTGATCAGTTGTAAAAGCGGGAGATCCCCAGGCCCCACCTGGAGGCTGGCAACTCTAGACCACAGGGATCTGTTGCCCTGAAGAAAATCATTGCTTTGGAAGCTGGACTCTATGGCATTATACCCTGATAAGGAAAACCCTCCCTACCCATACTCTACCCACAAAATCTCTGAGAATTTCCCAGTGTGGAATTGGCAACCCTTTCCCAGATCCAGCAAGGAATGAAGATACCAGCCAATGCTCTTGATATTGGATAGTGAACATTATGGGAAAAATGACCCATCAAAGATCAATATATTTAGAACAGTGTAAACCAGAGGCATAGAGGGATTTTTGGCTCCAGTTTGTAGATAAACCAGATCTACATGTTGCAAAGCCATCCACATATCATTTGCTTGGTGTTTATTAGAAATACTTTTGTAATATCCTTATCAGAGTGTTTAAGCATTCCTTGTGGTATAAGAAAGGATTACAGATTGTTACTAAATTAATCCACTTGGCAAATTGGGATTTGGGCGGATGCTGACAAAGTTTGTGGGGAGAAACTTCCCTCTTGCCTTTTATATTGATCTGCTTTTTAAAAAAAAACTACAAGGAAGTTAACTGTTTAAAAAGTTTAACAATTTATACGAATGGTGGTCTTTGGGTTTTTCCCCTGCCTACTTTTATTCTCAAGTCTTTTGTATTCTGCTTTGTTTTTCTCTACAGGCTATCTGGAAGCCATTTTATTTAAGTAAAATTATTAGTAATTGAATTAAGCATCAAGAAAAAAAAATTAGCTGTTCTGCAAATCCCAAACTCCTGTTTTTAAAAGGGGGGGGAACCCCAAACAATTGTGTTTTTGATCAGTCTGAGGGATACAAGCAGGGCTAGATACTCAATTATTTTGTAAAGGTTTTCATGCGCCTTGTCTGTGGCAGAATATTTCTTCCCATTTTACCAGAAAAGCTGGGTACTGCATTTCTAAGGGAGAAAGCAGAAAAAATACACACTAAGGGGAAAAACCTTTCCACCTGCTTTAAAAACCAGAGACTGCGCAAAACCTATTTGGTTCCTGATTATCTGACCCAAGATAACCTTCCCCCGTGCAACATCCAGCCTCCCTTTCTAAGACAGACGGAAAGGCACGCCGGGAAAGGCAGTCCTTTGCTCCAGAAGCACGAAAGCAAAAGCCAAACCATGCCGAGGGGCAGAGACTACACCTCCCAGAAGGCACCACGCGTCCCCTGCGCCAAACAGACATGGATCTAGTTGCACCAATGACGCCACGGCTCAGCTCGACCAATCGCAGATTGCAGGAGGGAATGTCAACAAACAAGGCGGCCTGTAGGCCACGTGATACCAGCCGGGACAACAAGCCCCAGATAAGGGACGGGAACAACTTGAGCTGCAAATGCTCTTGCGGATACCGGAGAAAGGGCTCTAAATCCCAAACGAAAAAACGGACTCCAGGGTGGAAAACTGGCACAGTGATCCGATTCAAAATGATTCCAGATGGGTTAATCTGTCGCAGCCATACAAAACAGGAGCACCAATAGCACCCTAAAGCCATTTTGGCCATCAAGTCCCAGCTGACTTATGGGGACCCGGTTGGGTTTTCAAGGCAAGAGGCATTCAGAGGTGGTCTGCCATCGCCCACCTCTGCCCAGCGTCCCTGGATTTCTTGGCGGCCTCCCAGCCAAATCCTGACCAGGGCAGACCCTGCATTGCTTCTGAGATGTGATGAAATCAGGGAAGCTTGGGCCATCCAGCTAAAGGAACCCTAAAGCCTGGCACAACGTGTTGCAGCATCTGTTTGCAGGAGCCAGCGCACGCTATCCAAACCAGAATTTGACGCTGAGCAGCTGGCTGGAGTATTTGCCTCGGTCTGGTGCTTTCGTTACAGAATCAAGAAGTTCCATCTGGGATAGCTCACCAAAATTTTACAGAGGGAAGAGATTCAGGAAGGGGGGGTTGGGGGTGTAAATCAGGATTTCAGTAACAAATAAACCAGGAATCTTGTGGCACCTTAAAGGCGGAGAGAGCTTTTCATTTGAGAACCCCTTTTTCACAGTCAAGAGGTCACATCATCAGATATATGCAGGGGGCCCTCATTAGGCAGAGGTTTATATATGTGATTATTTTAAAAATGCCCTGATCTGGATATCCCAGGGCAGCCCAGTCTTGTCAGATCTCAGAAGCTAAGCAGAGTCCAAGGAATACCAGGGCCATGACACGGAAGCGGCCAATGGCAAACCACCTCTGAATGTCCTTGAAAACTCTACAGGGTCGCCATATGTCACCCGTGACTTGATAGCACTTTTCAGCACCATGGGGGGGGGGGGCAGGCTCAAAGGGCCAAGTATAGCACGAGATGTAATTATTTAAAATTCAGATACAATCAAGGAAAGCACAGACAGGGCAACAAGAACAAAGACCCGTCAAAACAGAATTGTCACCTCTCTAGTTTTGCTAAGCTACTTTACACTGTATGGCAGCTAAGAATCTCTGCCTGGGAGATACTGTTTATCTCCAGTTGCAACAGAGTCACATGTCTACCCCCTCTAGGATTTCAGTGCTGGTTTTCTAGGAAAATGCAGCTGGGTCCTGAAACACCCAATGAAGCCGCACTTCTAGGGAGTCAAACCATTGGCCCGTCAAAATCAGTACTGTCTACTGAACTATTAGCAGCTCTCCAGTTCTCCTGGGCCTCAGGCAGAGGTCTTTCCCATCACCTGAGCCTTTCAAATGCAAATGCCAGGGATTGACCTACAACCAGACCCTTTACCTGGAGATGTTGGGGATTGAACCTGGGACCTTCTGCATGCCAAGCACATGTTCTATCACTGAGCCACAGCTCCCCCCCCCAAAAAAAAATCCTACAGTCACCAAAAAGGAGGGCTTGATATTTATTTGAACAGCATACCAACTCCATAGACTGGCCAGTTTAAGGTCAAGTGGATTGTATAGGGGAAGCTGTCAGGATGAAAAATGGGAATGGAAGCAGCTTTTCTCCAATGTTTCTCTGTGTGTATATATATATACAAAAACTGAACACCATATAATTAAGGACTCAAAAACACAGGTGGTGAAAAGAGCAGTGCCATTATGACCAAACGGCATCGTTTAGAAACAACATACACTCCATATCAATCCACAGCACTTCAAAAGAGTCTCCGCCATTCCATTTATCTATTTCCAGCATCTACACTCCCACATATGTAGACTTTTAGCCAACAGTTAAAAGCCCAGACTGTTTTCAAGAGACATGCAGACTTTTTTGGCCAAGTCTCCAAACAAATCTCTTGCTGCATCTAAGCACGTAGCTTATGTTTACAGCCCCCCCCGCCCCTCCCCATTCAACCCATCAACCTTGATGAAAAGTAATACCTGGAAATCATACAAGGCCACAATGTTTTCATGTTTCAGTTCCTAGAAGGAGAGAAAGACAGATAAGCATAACAAAGTCACACAGACACCCACACAAAAACAGGCCCCTTAAACTGAAATGCTGCAAGAGTCCAAAGCTTTGTGGCGTTCATGTTTTTACCTTGAGTATTTTAATCTCCTTCCCCAAGAGGGTTTGGGATTTTGCCAAGTTCTTCTTGTTAATGCATTTGATCGCAACCTCCAGTTCAGGTTTCTGAAAGTGAAAAACGTACAGGCACAGTTTAAAGATATAAAACAGGAGAGGCACACACGGTTTCTTGAATGGATCATAGCGCTTCAGAGCACAAGAACGATTCAGCAGCTCGACCCATACATGTTCAGACATGCCCTTGAATGAATTGGCATTGCCAGAACATCAAGAAGAACCCAAGACAGATTCCGTAAAAAGCTTCACAGGGCCGTTACCTTTTAATTAAGCCACTATAGGAACTTATATGCAGTGTTTTGAGTATGTATACATATATTTTTTAATCCACTGATAAAGTGCGTCTCTTTTGTTTAATCAAAACAATGAAGGCAATACAATGTAAGGACACTAAGGCAATGTAGACTAATCTTTGAGGAGAAGAAGCTAAACATACACTTAAAGCTATTCCAACTCTCTGGAAATCGACAGCAGAAGGGCTGCATATTCACCTTCTGGTCTCCGAGACACCCTAACTGAATATTTATAATTCCATACTGCAATGTCTGCTGGCTTCCTGCAGCTTTAGCTACAGCTGGGCAGGCTTAGGAGTTAAGGCCTGGTTTTGTTTGGCTGACCAAAGTTCCAGTGCTTTGGGGCTGTGATGGAGAGTTACAAACCCCCCCTCCGAACCCACCAACTCCCTTAAAAGTTACTTTAGGGAAATAGCAAGAAAGGATTTTTTAAGAATTAAAAATCTAGCAGGAAATTGGACTCTCCCATCCTGGTTTCTTGGAGGGGCATTCCCTGGATGTCAAGTGGGATTTACTCTTGAGGAGATCACTCTAGGGGATCTGCCTCACCCTGACCTCATTTCCTTGGAAGTAAGACCTTTGGGATTTCAGTGGCCTGCACCTGGAAGAAAGACCCTTTGGGGACCCAGAAGGGGCAGCCGTGTTTGTCTGTTGCTGTCCAAACAGGACATTTTTGCACCTACAGGGGGAAGCCACAGGACTTCCAAGGGCAGGTGATTCAAATCTATGCACTTCTGGCAAAGTTCTTCTGTGCCTTAACAGAACTTTCAGAAAGTAAACAGACTTAGATGTTAGTCTAATATTAAGGGGGGGAATGTATATTATTATTTTTAAAAGCCAATCGAAACATTTTTCACCCTCGATGTGTAAAACCAGGAGGGAAAGGAGAGTTCTTAATATCTATCCCTCTCCCAACACAAAGAACAGAGGCAAAACAGCCTCCCAGATCAAGTGGGGGGGCGCGGGGGGGGGGGGGAATGGAGGAAAATTCTATCTATATCTGTTCCCGACTCACCTCTTTGTGTCTCCCTTTGAAAACCACCGCAAAAGCTCCATGGCCGATTAAGTCTTTCCTACTGAATTCAAATTTCCCAACAGTTTCCATGTCTTTTTAGTCCTTCTTTGGCTCTTGAAAAGGGTCGGTAACAACAAAAAAGTATGTATAGATAAAAACAAGGGAAATATATATATAACTCCCCCCCTTCTTTATTTTATTTTTTAAAAAATCTTAAGTTTTCAAAGTTGCCCCTCCCCCTCCTTTCAAGAACGATCAAGAACTAGAAACTTGTTGAAAAAGTAAACCTTCTCTCCTGTCCAGTTCTCGGCTGCTAAATTTCTGGTTCTCAATTTCCAGTTCGGCTTCTTCCATCGGCTGTCTTTTTCTGCAAAAAGGCCGGGATTTAGTCATGGTCAAAGGGGGGGAGAGGAGAATAATAATATAAAAAGGACAAGAGGCTTCGTTCGTGCCTCCCCGGCTAGCAAACTTGCCCCATGTCTGGCCAGGAGAAAGAAAGATTTAAAACAGAAGCAAGAAGGAATCCCCCCCCCCCCCCCCGGATCAAACCCTCTTCGTCGTCTGGAACACAAGCAGAGAAAGAGGACCGTCCTTCCGTGGGCAAAAAAAAAAAAATTAACGATCCATCTCCAAAGAATGGGTTTGTTTTTGTTTTTGTTTTTTTTAAAAAAATCAGACTGATGCAAGAGTGGTTAAAAAAAAAAAAAAGTAATCCCAACCTGGATGTCAATTTCACCTTGGAAAAGAACAGGATCCACCTTAAAAGCAGTCAAAACAGGACCGGGAGCCCGTCCACCTTAAGAGCGAGTCCACCTTAAAGAGTCGCTTTTCCTGGCCTCCCCCCCGGTCTTTTTTCTCTTCCCCCCCACCGAGCAGCCTCCTTCGCCTGTCTGCACGACCGCTGCCCAGATGCGCGCCGCGGAGACCCCTTTCCGAGCGCCCGCGATGGGGATCCCCGGACCGGGGGTTACGCAGGTGCCTGCCCGCGTCCGGCCGCGGCCGCCGGAATCACCGCCAGACAAAAGATCGCCGCCCGGCTCCGACCGGGGCGCTGGAGAGCTTCGTGCTCGCCCTCCGCTGGCTCGCTCTTTACA